TGATGATGATGATGATGATGATGATGATGATGATGATGATGATGATGATGATGATGATGATGATGATGATGATGATGATGATGATGATGATGATGATGATGATGATGATGATGATGATGATGTGGAGGAGGAGGAGGAGGAGGAGGAGGAGGAGGAGGAGGAGGAGGCCCAGACCCAGACCCCCTTCGCGTCGTGGAAAAATCACGACTCGAGGTGTTTGGCACTTTTCGGGCTCTCGGGGGGGCCCTCGCCGGACCCGGGGACCGTCAGAACACGGTTGAAAAGCCAGTCCTGGGGAATGAGTCGAGACCCCAGGGGGTCCACGCTGTGAAAAAATCACGACGTCGGGGGTCTGGGGGGAGGGGCAGCTGCCCGACATCGTCGCCTGGGTGAGGGTGTGTAGAGATGCGTTGGTTTCTAGACGGGCTTCGCGGCCGCAGGGGGAAGGATTGGGAGGGGGCGGAGGGGGAGGCGGACGGGCACAGGGAGCGACGGACGGGGGGGGGGGGTGGCTGGGTATGAAGAGGAAAGATACACGGGCGGGGCTGAAGAAGGTGAAGATGGGGACGGGGAAGGGAGAGGGAGAGGAAGGGGGATGGGAAGAGGAGAAGTATGAGGATGGGTATGGTGAGGAGAACTGTAATGCAAGGGGAGGGGGAGGGCCCATGTCTGTCTAGGCTAGTGTAGTAGGGGCGAGGAGTATGATGAGTGACGAGGACCCGCAGTATGACCTGTCAAATCCGCATTGACGACTTACGAGATTCTTCAGTTGAAAGTGTCTCTTTCGTGCGCCTTCGTTTCCTGCAACTGCCAGCGTAGTTCCTCGTGAAGCGTCTCGCGTGCGGCAGGGACTACGCTGCATCGCAGCTTTGATCAGAACTCCAGTCTCGCGCCCTGAGGTGCTGTGCTGCAACTGCCCGCGCTCGCGCCGCGGCGAGCAGTGGTGGCAGGGTCAGGGCGGCATCCTTCGGCGAGGATGCTTCAAATAGCTTTTCCCAGTCCTCCTGTGCGTTGGGATCTCGTTTCGAGTAGGGCAATGTGGTCTCCGACTTCCCTCTATTCCTCCTGCCTCCTCCTGTGCTGCTCCCTGGGTGGCTGCGCGCTTCCCAACCGTCGCCACTTTCGTGGGCTCCTGGGAGGTTCAGGCGGAGTCGGGGGCCACGCGGAGCCTGGCTGCTCCTTGGGTGGCTGCGCACTGCGCAACTGTCGCCACTTTCGTGGGCTCCTGGCAGCTCTAGCGGAATCGGGGGCCACGCGGACCCAGGCAGGACCTCGCGGCTCCTACGAAGTGCGCAATTCTCACCCTTCTCGTGGGATCCTGGGGGGTCGAGCGGAATCGGGGGCCACGCGGACGCTTCACGGGTGGCTGCGCACTGCGCAATTGCCGCCCATTTCGTGTTCGCCTGGGCGGTCCAGCGGAGTCGGGGGCCACGCGCACTCATTTGAGACCTCGCTGCTCCCTGGTATGTTGCAAACTGCGCATTTGTCGCCACTGTCGTGGGCTTCTGGGGGGTCCAGCGGGGTGGAGGCACACGCGGACCCAGGCGGGACCTGGCTGCTCCCTGGGTGGCTACGCATTGCGAAACTGTCGCCCTTGTCGTGGGCTCCTGGGAGGCACAGCGGAGATGAGGGCAGCGCAGGTCGTGCATATCTGGCGATGTGTACCTTTGTGGAGAAGGGTTTGGATACGTCTCGGGTAATTTGCCAGAGGCCCTCCCCGCCTCCCAGAAGATGTGGACGGGCACGGGTTTCAGGAAGACCGCCCCCTTTCTCTGGTAGGCCCTGGAGGTATGCGGAGGCCCTGAGAGGCCCCAGAGGCGTTCGGAGGCCTCCTGGAGGGCCGAGGAGGGCCGAAAACGTCCAAGTCCTTCTGTTTGAGATTCTCGAACCCAGGCCACCCCTTGACTCGCTGCCAGTTTGCCCATGCCTCTCCCCCTTCGGGCGGGTTGTTCGTGTCCTGCGGTGATGGCGGGCGTCACCGGGGCGGGGGGGGGTGCGGGGAGGGGGCGGACATGGGGGTGAGGGGACGGGGCCAACAACGCCGCGATCTGCGCTGGCGGCGCCCAGGAACCAGATCTCATTCCTGGACGGCACGGCGCGCGAGTCGTGACGTGGCCTGGAGGGGAGAGGGGGAGGGAGGGGGGTGGCCTTGGCAACGGGTATTGTCGCGAATCGTAACTTTGGCACGAACGACTGGTTATTGAAACAATGGGGACGGGCAGGCAGCAGTTTTTGCCCGTTTCGAGCAGGACTCGCTGTCGGTGTCGCCGCGGATTTTGTCTGTTTGGGAGAGAAGGTCGCCTGCGCAACCAGCGGCCGCTGTCGATTTTGGACGGCACTTGCTGCTCGGCATTATACCCATGTTCTCCTACCCGGTGCGGGAGGGGACCAGAGGGTGGCGGCTCTGGCAACGGGCGTTATCGCGAATATCAGCGCCACCGTTATTGGTATCCGTTAACGGGTGCTTTTGAAACCCTCCGAAAGCTTCATTTAAGGTCCTCTTTGGGGTCTTGCAGCGTTGCCCGCATCGGGAAGGCTTGGGTTGTTTTATGTGTCGCTGGCTAGAAGTACCCGTCAGTGGGGTATCTGTTAGAGGGGGCGCTGAAAATAGTGAAACAGCAGGTCTTCTCGACTGCGCGCCCTGGGGGGAAGGCAGATGGGGCATGCCGTCTCAGCAGGCTCATAAGAACCCCTCGGGCCTTCTGAGACGCTCTCCAAGCCTTACCCCGAAACCGCAGATGGCTCCACAGCAGGCCGTGGGGCTTCTGAGCAGCGGCGCCGCCTTCCGAGCAGGCCAGCCCCCTCTCAGGCTCCCCCCCTCGGCTCGTAATTCGGGCCTCCGGCGGCCGTCTGGGACGATCCAGGCACCCCCGCAACGCTCTCGGCGAGGTGCAGCCGCCAGAACGCATCGGAAGGCATCATGAGGCCAGAAACTGTCGAGAACCGACGAAACTGCCCGTGCAGTCAACCCGCATCGCAAGGACGGGCAAAACCTTCCCAAGGGTACCCTTGCATCCTCGCCTCCTCGGCCTATCCCTGGCCGCTCTCGTTGGTCGCGCCCCGCTCGAAGAGCTTCGAGATGGCCTTCCACGGCCCTTGCATCCTTAATCTTGAGTCGGGCCTGTCCCCCTGCAGGGGGATTTTCGACGAAAAATAAGAAATACCCCCAAAATAATAAGAGATACTCCAAAAATAGTCTGGGGACTATTTTTTGAGCATTTTTTAACCTTCTTGGAGTATTTTTTTTTTGTTTCGTCGAAAATCCCCCTGCAGGGGGACACGCCCGACTTAACCTTAACCGTGCGTCCTCTTGATGCGGGCTGACGGTGCCCCCCGAGAGCCACCGCACTCCCGAGAGCCAGCGCCGCCGCTCCCCGCCACGCGCCGCCCTCCGCGCGCGCCGCGCAGCTCTCTCTCTCTCCGCGCGCGTGCCCGTCGCCGCCGGAGTTACGTCGGGCATGTCCCCCCACAGGAGGAATGTTCCAAAGCAGTCGAAAAATACTCAGGGGACGATTTTTTGACTAGTTTTGAAAATTGGGTCGAGCCTTTTGGGGTATTCTTTATTTTTCGTCCAAAATCCGCCTGCAGGGGGACAGGCCCGACCTGACGCCAGAGGTGCGCTGGCGACTCCCCGGGGGACGCGGCCGTGCGCGGCGCGGTGGTGTGCTCGGTCTACGACCTCGTGCAGGGCGACGTCACCGAGGCGCGCGGCGCGCGCGCCGCGCCGGGGGGGCCTCGCCGTGGGCCTCGCACCGTGGGCTCGAGCCCCCTGAGGTCTCGTCGAATAATAATAATAATAATAATAGTAGTAATAATAATGATAATAATAACACAAATAATAGGAATCATAATAATAATTATCCCAGAGCGACCCTACCTAGGAGTTGGAGCCCCGAGGAGAGCAATAGTAGTATACTGCTATGCTATACCATGCCATGCCATGCTATGCTATGCTATGCTATGCTAGGGTATGCTAGGCTGCGCTATGTTATGCTAGGCTATTCTATGCTTTGCTATGCTGCGCTATGCTACGCTATGGTATGCTATGCTGCGCTATGCTATGCTATGCTATGCTATGCTGCGCTATGCTGCGCTATGCTATGCTATGCTAGGTTATGCTATGATATACTATGCTGCGCTAGGCTATGCTACGCTATGCTACGCAATGCTATGCAATGCTATGCTGCGCTATGCTATGCTATACTATGCTGCGCTATGCTATGCTATGCGAGGCTATGCTATGCTATGCTATGCTATGCTAATGCTATGCTATGCTATGCTGCGCTGTGCTATACTAAGCTAAGCTATGCAATACTATGCAATGCTATGCTGCGCTATGCTATGCTATGCTATGCTATGCTGCGCTATGCCATGCTATGCTATGCTATGATATGCTATGCCATACTATGCTATGCTATGCTAATGCTGCGCTAAACTAAGCTAAGGTAAGCTGAGCTAAGCTAAGCTAAACTAAGTTAAGCTAGGCTAGGCTAAGCTAAGTGAAGCTAAGCTAAGCTAGGCTAGGCTAAGCTAAGCTAAGCTAAGATGAAATAAGCTAAGCAAAGATGAGACAAGCAACGCTAAGCTAAGGGGACGTAACTGGGGGAACCGCGGGGCGGATACTGGGGGAACCGCCTGGGGCGAGGACCACTGCCCGGCCCTTAAGCATACATGGTAAGAACCCTTCTAGGCAGAGCCTAGGTAGGGAATAATACTATACTACGAATAATACTACTAATAGTAAGATGAATAAGACTATTAATACGAATACCAAGAATACTAATCAGACTAATAGTAGTAATAACAACCATGACAATAATGATACTGCTACTTACACTACTTATTTTACTTATAGTATAATAGTAATACGAGTCATAAGACTTTCAGCAATGATAATAGCAATAATAAGTAAGCGACGCCATGAGCATAACAACTTTTGGCGCTCCGCGCGGACTTCTCTGAGCCGCGCTGGGCCGCCCCTGGCGCCGCGCCTGGTGCCGCCTCTGGCGCGCTCCGCGCGCCAGTGGAGGGGGGGTCCGGCGCAGATCCAGGAAAGCCGCACGGAGTGCCAAAAGTTTGTGTGTTGATGCAGTGTTTTCGTTTTGTAGGAGTCCCCAAGGTTTAGACGACTCGCCCTGCAGAGACGTGCCCGTCGGAGGATCAGCCATCGGCTTGCCGTGGGCCTCGCCGTGGGCCAGGGGGCTGCTGTCAGATGTAGCAAGTCGCAGCACAGTGCAACAGGTGGCGATCCAAGACCTGTGATTTGGTACGATCGCCAAAGGGTCCAGGGAGAAATGGCGCGACAACCAGCAGCAGTTCCTGTTCGTTTGAACAGGACTCGCTGTCGGTGCCGCCGCGGACGCTGTCCATTTGAGACAGCAGTCCTCCTGCCCAACAGCGGCCTCCGAGGGTTTTGGGTCACCCTTGCTGTTGGGCATCGTTTTCCATGCCCATTCCAGAGGTCCAGTGATGGGGACAGCCTGCTTTTATCGGGCGCCCTGGCTGAGCCTCCGGCGACCACGTCGCCTCCTCCGACTGGCCCGAGAGGAGTGGCTATGTGGCCCTCCCTCCTGCCTGCCTGTGCGCGTGCGCGCAGGAGCAGCGAAGGGAGGGCACGGAGTGGTCGCAGGAGGCAGGCGGGCGGGAGTGGCCGCGCGTCGCCCCCGGCAGGCCGACTGCTCGCGCACTGGGAGTTCCAGCGGCAGGGGTCGCCCCTGGAAGCCCCCCCTGGCGGGGCGAGCGCGGCAGGGCCCCCTCGCGCGCGGCGCCGTGGCGAGCGATGGGCGGTCTCCGTGCCACAGCAGGCGCGGCGCTGCGTCACTTGTTCTGGGCTGCGCGCGTCCCCACTGCCCACGGTGCCCCCGCGCGGAAGACGTGGCTCCGTGCCAGGATCTGTTCGGGAGCCGTGCGGCCCCAGCGTGCGGCCGCGTCGGCGCATGCCACGCGTTGAGAGCGAGGCCCAGAAGTCCTGCGTGACAGGCAGTATGGATACAGTTCTCTGCAATTCGTATCTTGAGAGTGTGTTGATCAGAGTGCAACGTCCAGCTCGCATTCCCTCCGCCCCAGGGCGTCACGGGACAGCGGGCATTGTGAGCCATCATTTCTTTTTGCCGATTCACGATTGCACTTGTAGACTTTATTGCCAAAGCCATCGCCGATCTATCGATGATGCATGCATTTGTGCTGTCCGCAGTTACTTTTTTGAGTCAATGTAATCACATATTGTCTATCACCGGTTGGCAAGCCAGCTACGTCTGGCACGCGCGCGCCAGCTGCTACTGCAACCGCTTTGGCTCAAGGCGGCCAGCCGGTCGCACCTTGAAAGACAGAGACGGCTTACACCCTGCAGCCCGCACTGGAAAATAGTGGAAAAGAGGTCCTGGTTCCCTCCGCCCTCGGGTGTCGCGGGAGACCAGGATCACATACGTCATCGTCGGAACCATGTCACATCAACCTCTTGCTTCTGCAGATAGATCTGGTGACATCGACATGCCACTGGCTTTCCGGGGGAGTGGCCCCAGTTCTGGTCAGGTTCAGAGCTACAACACGAGGGTTATGAGCCCAAACCGATTGATGCTACCAGATCCGAACAGGGCGATCCTGCAAGGATTCACGATGACGTGCTTCGTGTGCCATCACCAAGCCACCGAACCAGCTACATGTTCGAGATGCGGAAAGGTAGGGCATGCACAGTGCCTCGGGTTGGAATTCTTTCAGGAATTTCCATTTTGCGGAGACTGCATTGCCGACACCATCCGGGAGTACTCGGACTACACCACGCAGGTGCGGCGCCAGGAGTGGAACAATATCTACGTCCACCAACTGGCAGTGTGGAAGGACCGGGCCACTGCGGCCATGGGCGCTTCCGCAGCGATGGGCACTGCGATCGGGGGAGCGGCGGCACTGGTCGTCGGAAGTACCGTTACACTTGCAAAAGGCATGGTTACAGGAGCCATCAACACCAGTACGGCCGACCAGCCTCAGACTCCTGCACTTCGTGATGGACCTTCACAGCCGGCGCTGCCAGCACCGCCTCCGGCGCACCCAGAGCAGAGACCTTCGCGGAAACGGGCGAGCTCCGTGGGGAGGACGCCAGATGGCGGCGGGCATTGTTTAGCTTGCCACACGTCCAACCCTGGTCACGTCGCGCACTTGCGGAGGGGCGACTGCGTGGGATTCCCTGGGATGTCCTACTTCGGTAAGAAGACGGCCATAGAGGCACTTCCGCAGGGTAAGACCGCCGCGCCAGTGGAACCGCCAAGTTCCTTCGCCAGCCTCGAAGATGCGTCGGTGACGAAAGATGCGTTGGTCGAGGTCCCTGTGCAGCCGCCTGGCACCGAGGCGGCGGCTCCCACGGGTGCTCCTGTTACCCTCGACAGTGTCCTCTTGGCCGTCCAGAACTTGCAGGAGGAAGTGCGGGCACAGAGAATGAGCTTCGACATGGTCATGAAGGGCCAGGAGCGATTCAACAAACGCACGGAGGACGAGCACAAACACTTTGCCGCGAGATTCGACATCTTGGAGCACAGTCTTACCAACCTTCAAGTACAGCATGCAGATGTAGCAGCGGAGTTAAAGGCAACGAAGGACAGACTGGCGCAACTGGAGACCGAACACGCGTCTTGGTACGGGTACGACCAGAGGGAGCAGGAACCACACGGAGAATACCACTTACCACGTGAACTAGAAGCAGTGATGGGCAACCAACAGAGTGAGCTGAACTCTGTACCTACTTATGCGATGGCGAGTGGAAACACCACTCCGCGCCAAGCACAAGAGGAGGTAGACTTACTCGGCTTGCACTCCCCCCGCCCTCGGGTGTTACGGGACAGCAAGCTTGACACCGCGGCAGTAGCAACGCTGTCTGCAGCCCCAGAGGCCCAACCAGGGGCCCGGCAAGTTGTGGACCAGCTCCAGATCCCACCTGCGATGAAAGATTTGCGGTACGGTATGGATGCTGCTGTTGTTGCGTTTCATGTGCCCCAGGAGATGCAGCTTCGCCCGCGCGGGGCGCTGCCTGGAGGCGCCGGAGCAACCTTACAGGAGACTGACATGCTGAAGCGAGGCTCTGCCCAAGACCACACCGGGGACGGTGTACCGGTTGGGGCGTCAGCAGCTGCCTTCGGCAGTGGTCCAACGGCGCAGGCGGCTAGCCGTGCCCCGGGCGCACAGCTCGTCACGACAGCGAGACCTGACACCGAGACCTTCAGTTTCACAGGCGACTTGGTGAGTCCATTCGAGGCAGGGCCCGGCCTCCTGGGCGAGCAAGGCCATGTTGCCAACCATCCACCGGCCTTCCCTGGTGTGATGTCTCAGACCCTGCCTGGGGAGAGTCGACCTCCCAGGGCGACCGGGCAAGGCGCAGAGCTACGCGGATCCCCTCCGGGCCTCAGTCTGGACGAGGAGCTCCCGCTCGGCGAAGTGAACCTGCTCGTGAAGTTTCTCAACTCAATGGGAGACCTTCCGCGGATCGACCTTGGTGACGCCCATGGCCGCGGAGAGCGACTGAAGCTGTGGCAAATTGCCATGGAAACTCAGTTGAAGACTACCAGGAGGGTTGTCATGGATTGGTGGAGATGGTGCTGGACCACAGCGGAGAGGCACTACGACACCTGGCTGAAGACACCCATCCTGGAGAGGAACCATCTGAAGATATTGGATGGACTTCCTCGGCGGTGGGAGCTGGTCGAGGACTGGTTCTTA